GACAGGCCCAGGTTCAATCCCTCCTCCCTTTTAAACACTAGATATGAACATCCAGGAACATTCTACAACGCAAAGTGCCTTAGGAAAGAGAAGGATTCCGTAGTGCCAGTGACATAACTGATCTCAGGAAGCGGGGATGCAATGAACACTGATGGGAGCCAGTCAGGCAATGGTGGTTTGCTTCTCCTCAGGTGTTTCCTCCAACAACTGCATGATCAGTTCATGGAGGGGTTTGCAGATCTTTGCGTAGCCCCCTCCTGTGAGATGCAGAAAATCAAACATGTCGTGGCAGGAGATGGCACCGTCCGAGTGCACGAAGCCCCCATCTGTATCCAGGAGCTGAACATTGGCAAGCTTTGGCAGGGAAACCTTGAGGAGCTGGTTCACCTTGGCATTTTTTTGCCTCAAAGGGTTGGGCTTCTCACCTCGAGGTAACAAACCCTGGGGCAGAACAGAGAAGAACAAGATGAGAAGAGGCAGTGCTCTTATTTGGCACTTGCTACACCACTGATTTCTGAAACACTGGACCAGCTTTGGTTTGAATAAAAGTTCTCTGACCATCCCTTCTCAGTCTCTCCAGGAGTTCCTCTTCCTCCGCCTGTCCCTGAATCACTGATATTCTTAGGGTCGTCTCCTTGGCTCACTGTTCTTCCCAGTCTAAAAACTTGGGCCCAGATCTCTCCCTAGAGCTTCAGAACTACATACTGAACATCAGCTACAGAAGCAAACTTGAATGCTCTTGCGGCACTCCCAACTTAACATGCCCAAACTTCCCCCAAACTACGCTCCTTCTACATTCTTTCTATCAATTGATCATTCCAACACCCCCAAGTGTCTCACCCCTCATACCTTACCTATTTATCACATTACTCAGATTTGTATCCTAAACATTTTCCTAATCCATTCTTTTTTCTCCATTCTGATTATATACACTACTATGGCTAGTTGTTCAGACCTCCATTAATGTAAAATCTCCTGACTGGTCTTTCAATGTCCAATGTTGTCTCTCCTTCACATCATTCTCAACAGTCACTAGAATAATCTAGCTCAAATACACATCTATTTGTTAATGCCACATGGAACCTACATGACCGCACATGAGAAACAGGTGGAACAAATGCTGTCTTGATGAATCAGAGACACAAAATATCTGGTAGGTTAAAACAGAGATGTGTCCTAAATTTGTTTTTAACTTATATGTTAATGATCTAAAATACGATTTTCAGATAAAGCAGGTATCTGTCCTTCTATAATAAATAAAAGCCTGGTCTTATATGATAAAAGGAAGGTTTTATCATCTCAAACCAGAAATGGCCTTTAAAAAACGATCAAATCTACTATAAAATTGTCACACATCCCCAACCTTTTAGTTGGTTAATAGCTAATGATGATATCTATTTCTATTACAGAGTATGGTAAGAGGTCTTATTTCACAAAAATAAGATTTTTGTGGGTATTCTATTAAAAGATAATTTTTATTATGCCCAGAGTAAGTACTTGTACATGCCTGTTTTATATATTTTTTTTCCAGCAAAATTTTGGGGCCTTGATTACCAATTTATTGTGTGATTGTATGGTTAGTTCCAAAAGAGAATCATGACTCTGCTACCCTCGTTCATCTTCTTCTATCCTTGTTAAGCGCCTCAAAATGTCACAGATGAGCCCTGGCCGTTGTGGCTCAGTTGGTTGGGCATCGTCCCATACACAGAAAGGTTGTTGGTTTGATTCCTGGTCAGGCTCAATCCCCAATAGGGCATGCAGGAGGCAGATCAATGTTTCACTCTCACATTGATGCTTCTCTCTCTCCTTCCTCCTTCCTTTTTCTCTTAAAAAAAAAAAGTCACAGATGAGGTCATCCTAAATCAGTGATGGCGAAACTATGACATGCGTGTCATAGGTGACACACGAACTCATTTTTTGGTTGATTTTTGTTAAATGGCATTTAAATATATAAAATAAATATCAAAAATATAAATCTTTGTTTTACTATGGTTGCAAATATCAAAAAATTTCTATATGTGACACAGCACCAGAGTTAAGCTAGGGTTTTTCAAAATGCTGACACACCGAGCTCAAAAGGTTTGCCATCACTGTCCTAAACCCTAGTTTATATATGACTGTTAAAAGTATAGGCTGTGCATCCATAGTTAAAGAGGAACAGCTCTCAATGCTGACATATCAAAGCCTGGATGAGATAGAATGAGCAACCAGGAAGAATGGCCACTGAACAATCCTATATAATAAAAGCCTAATATGCTAAGTGTCCGGTTGCCTGTTCAACCAATCAAAGCCACAACCCCGATTGGCCCTGCTCTGTGGGTGATAGAGGGCAGCGCCACAACCCCCACCCCTCCCACAGGCCCTGCTCTGTGTGTGAGACGGGGTAGAGCCATAACCTCCCCATCGGCCCTGCCCTGAGTGTGACAGTGGTGGCGCCCCAACCCCCTGATCCGCCCTGCTCTGTGGG